CCCCAAAACCCCAAAACCCCATCAAATATTATTGAAAATAAGAAATTATATTTAAACTATTATAATATAATGGAAGGTAAAATCATAAGATGTAAAAAATAATCCAATATTTTGATGACTCTCCTTTAGAATAAACATTAGATTATACATTTATTGGCAAATATAAGTGTGAAAAATAGTATTTTGAGCTTAGGGAATGCCTTACAGCTAATATTCTTGAGGGTAAAGAATCAGTTTGTGAAGTAATCATAAGTTTAATGTTTAATACAATAGCCAATATATGAAAAGATAGGTTTATGTATAGTAAATAACTTCAAGAGTAATGCAAGATAAGATTATGACATGCTAATGGCACAAGCGAAAGAAATGAGCAAGTGATGTTAATGAAGATTAGAGACTGATATTGAAGTGATATAGTTGATTAATTAGATTATTGTAAATATGGAATTATATTAATAATCAATCTTGTATTAAATTTTCATTTAATCAAATTACGATAGTTAAATTAATAATAAAAATATTGAAATGAATAGTGTTGCTAAAAATTATTAAGGAAGAAATCAATCTCATAGTTAGGCTCACAGCAATCAGTACTCTGGTACCATTTAAGAGTCCAAATAAGGCGTTGATAATTTCACTACAGCTCAAAAGAGCATAAATGCTTCTATATAGGAGTACCTTCTTAAATACGGGTTTATGAAAACAGTTGATTGTTTCTAAGTAACTTAAAATTTGAAATAATCTTATTTTAGGAAGAACTAAACTCTCAGAAGACAAATATGCAAAGAAATTTAGTCCTTGATGAAAACACTGGTATTAATTATATGATCAATGTAAGATACTTTATTTTTAGATAATGACAATTTTAGGCTTATAATCTGGGTAAAAGGGAGCATTTTTTTATTTCTTGGAACAGATTTGTTCCCCTTTCATTGAGGTAAACTGATATCATATGCTAAAAACTTGAATTCTACTTACACATATACTTCGCTATATTTCCAATACATCCAATGAACCCGAGTGCAAGCAACAATGAGAAGGAACTTAGAAAAGAGCTCTAGGCATTTAAAGTATTTTTAGACACAAAGGGACAGGATCTATCTAAAACCTCAGAATTTCTTCAGTACTATGCTTTACCATATGTAACGAATCCACTAGATCATCCTATATTCAAAGGCCTTTGTACTAAAAAGTGGGGAAATGATCTTCGATAGAAACTTAAAGAATTCTTAAGCTCAAATCTTCCAAAATTATCATCACCTTAATTGTTCCATTGGTATGCAAACTTTAAAAAGAAATTAGGAGGACCAAATAATAAAAATGATCTAGCTTCAATGGGTGGAAACTACCCCGAATCAGATGATCTAAAAGAGAGATTGTTAATGCTTTAAAAACATTATCTAGTGTTATAAAAGAAAGAGGAATATACCAAGCAGACATTGATTGATTCTCAGAGCAAATGGACAACTTTTTCAAAAGAAATTTTGAATATCGCCAAAGAGCTTTTCTTTAGTTTAGAATCTATGGGGGCAAAGTTAACCATCAATAAAATTTCTTTGATACCTATCCGAGATAAAATGGCGAGATTTGAAGCATTTCTAAATAACAATAGTGAAGAATTAGAAAAGAAGCATGGGGTATCCATGAACAAAAGAAGTTTCCTCTAAAATATCCAATAATAGCAAATAATGCAATAAAATCAGATTTAAAACTAATATGAATACTAGTAGCAGAATATGATGAATGAATAAGAATAATCATTTGATGAGGAAGTTGAGCCAGTAAACAGATAATTGCATAATCGATTCTAAAATCACTAGCAATAGTAGCAGTAGTAATAGCAGATGAGTAATGGAATTATGAATCTACAAGATTTGGCTCCATTAAATTTCTAGAAAATCAAGCATTTCTTGATGACTTCATAAGAGGAACTTAAAATTTGTGCAACTCTTTAAGCGTTAAGATGGAGATTAACAAAAGCAAAGAGGAAGTCCTTAGTAAAATAAGTTATATATCTCTATATGAACTGCGATCTATTGGGATGCTCTAATAAAGAAAACTAAATTGATTAGAGTTACAGAGTACTCGATAGGATGCTGTAGAGCTCAAATAGAGTTGTTGAGTATACAATGACTTTTATAAATGCATTAGCAAGTGAGAGACTAGGTAGATCATATCTTTTATAAAAACCAGATTTGGTCTAATTACTTGTCAAGATACTTCATTCTTAGACCAATGATACAAGTTTAAGGCAAAACGCTTTAGGCACACTTTAAAAGTTTTCCTTGAGAAAAAGACCTCAAACCATTATGATTTAGCTGGATATGATAAGATGGATTGCATATGTTCTCAAAAACTAAGGATAATCACTATCTGACTATAGTATTGAATATGCAACTGCATTACTTATGAATTTATCCCTTAGAGCAGCAGGTAAAGATAAATGTGAAGATCCTGAAATTAGATTGCTTGAAGTCTTAAATGACTTGGTTGAGCATGATAATCTATAAGTGAGAACATATGTTAATGGAACACTATATTCAATTTTTACAAGATTAAAACTTAGAGAAGAAGCTAAAAAGTTAGGTATGGCTGAAGTTCTTCGATATCTAATGCAAGAAAGCGATGAGCAATTTAAGAGATAAATTCAGTATATTTTAGACTAATTAAACTCAGCTAATGGTGAAAGCCAAGCGCAGGATAATGGTAGTTTGAACCCTAACGAGTAAGACGAGGAAGATTATGATAATGATGATGAGGATGAAGATGATGATGATGAAGAGGATGATATGGTTGAAGAGGAAGAGGGAGAATTCAATGATATCATCAACGAAGAAGGTATCTTATTGGGTGAAGACTTACTCGTAAGTGAATTTATTGGAACCCAAGACGAGTAAATTCAGCAGATTAAGAATGTATAATTGATGATGGAAAGAGATAGACAAATGAGACTCTAAATGCAATAGTAATATACAAGTATGAATGCTGAGTAACATAATATTCATAGCCCCTATAGTAACTAAACTAGAGCAACCTAATAGGATGGAAGACCTTTAATGAGACCTATTACTCCAATTAAGTCTGCTTAGGCAATGAGGCAGCAACACTCTACTAATACTTCTTAAATCACAAATAATAACTATATGCAAGAAAGTGTCATTAATCAAAATTAAAGTCAGGATGAAGATGGTCAATAAGAATTTAGAAATCTACCTTCTGAGCTGAGACATAGACCTAAATTACCAAGGACTCCAAATAGACAGGAAAGATTACCGAACAATCCTCATGGGGAAGGAAGTAGGCAATTGGGAAACAGTAAGGAAACTTTTGATAGTATGCTTCCTCATATTAAGAAGAAAAACGGAGATGTTACAGTAAGTTTCAATTTAATTAATTGTTTATAGGATGAGGAAATAAAGGAGTTCTAACAGGCATTTATATCGAAGGAGAAATTACCCAGATCTCCTCCTGAAAACTAGCAAAGATAGAAAGGAGGAAACCAGAATAAAAAGAGAATCTAACCTCAAAATATGGCAGGGGGTTAGATGTAACAAAGATAGAATGGACCATAGCCAAATCAATTTTATTAGTGAAAGTATAAAGCTTATTTATCTATATATTGATTAAAGTTTAAATTTTTATATATTGGCACTGATGGGGTTTTGGGGTTTTGGGGTTTTGGGG